CCAAGTTGGGTGGGAGTGTCGATCTGCTGGAGGGTAGGATGGCCCTGCAGAGGGACCTGGACAGGCTGGACCGATGGGCCAAGGCCAACTGGATGAGGTTTAACAAGGCCAAGTGCCGGGTCCTGCACTTGGGTCACAACAACCCCATGCAATGCTACAGTCTTGGGGAAGAGTGGCTGGAAAGCTGCCTGGCTGAAAAGGACCTGGGGGTGCTGGTTGACAGCTGGCTGAACATGAGCCAGCAGTGTGCCCACGTGGCCAAGAAGGCCAACAGCATCCTGGCTTGTATCAAGAATAGTGTAGCCAGCAGGAGCAGGGAAGTGATTGTCCCCCTGTACTCAGCACTGGTGAGGCCACACCTTGAATACTGCGTTCAGTTTTGGGCCTCTTACTGCAGGAAAGACTTTGAGGCACTGGAGCATGTCCAGAAAAGGGCAACAAAGCTGGTGAAGGGTCTAGAGAACAAGTCTTATGAGGAGCAGCTGAGGGAACTGGGATTGTTTAGCCTGCAGAAGAGGAGGCTGAAGGGAGACCTTATCGCTCTCTACAACTACCTGAGAGGAGATTGTAGTGAGGTGGGTGTCAGTTTCCTTTCCCAAGTAGTTAGCAATAGGAGAAGAGGAAATGGGTTTAAGCTGCACCAAGGGAGGTTGAGATTGGATATTAGGAAAAATTTCTTCACGGAAAGGGTAGTCAAGCATTGGAACAGGCTGCCCAGAGAGGTGGTGGAGTCACCATCCTTGGAGGTGTTCAAAACACGGATAGACGTGGCACTTTGGAACATGGTTTAGTGAGCATGGTGGTGTTGGGTTGATGATTGGACTGATGATCTTAGAGATCCTTTCCAACCTTAATGATTTCTAGTTTTTACTTTCATTAAAAAATAATACAGCCACCAATCCAGGAAACTTGAAATTGGTACTCTCCCCTTAACTGGTTTAGTGGTGGACTTGGTATTCTTAAGGTTAATGGTTGGAGTGGATGATCTTAGAGGTCTTTTCCAACCTAAATCTATGATGCTTTAATTCTATGATTTCACAAACACTGTAGTCCTTCTCCAGAGCCTTGTTCAGTCCCAAGGTACACCAGGTACTCACAAGGGCTCTTTCTTCATCATTGTGGGTACAGGTTTCAGCACAAGCCTCTAACAGGTTTGCCTGGCAAGGTTGGGGGGGTAAGGAGAGGGGGCCACAGGGGTTGCCTCTGTAAGTAGAGACCAGGGACTGCCCCCGTGCAGTTCCAGATGGCTCCAAAATAGACCCGCTGATGACCAAAGCTCAGCCCATCAGTGAATCTGGTGGTGCCTCTAAGACAACATATTTAAGAAAGGATAAAAAAAAATGCTGTGCAGCAGCTGTAAAAGAGAGGACAATGTGAGAGAAACAATGCTGCAGACACCAAGGTGTCAGTGAAGGAAGGGGAGGAGGTGCTTCAGATGCCAGAGCAGAGATTCCCCTGCAGCTCCTGGAGAAGACCATAATGAAGCAGGCTGGCCCGCCTGCTGCCTATGGAGGACCACACTGGAGCAGATATCCACACTGTATGCTGTGGAGGACCTCCCACAGCACAGCATGTGGATATGTCTTGAAGGAAGCTGCAGCCTATGGAGAGCCCATGCAGGAGCTGTTATAAACTGACCACAACACCCATCCCCCATACCCCTGTGCCACTCACGGGCAGGAGGTAGAAGTGTCAGGAACAAAGGGAGTGAAGTTGGGCCTAGGAGGAAGAGGTGGTGGGGGAATGTGTTTCTAATTTTGTCTTTGTTTCTCACTATCCTACTCTATTTTTAGTTGGCAATAATTTAAATTAATCTTCCCAAAGCTGGGGCTGTTTTCCCCGTGATGGTAATTGTTAAGTGATCTCCCTGTTTTTATTTTAACCCACAAGCTTTATCATCTTATTTTCTCCCTGTCCTGTTGAAGAATGGGAGTGAGAAAATGGCTTGGTGGGCATCTGGCAGCCAGCCAAGGTTAACCCACCACAGCAGCTCAGGGGAAACAATAGCTTGCTATTTACCATTTACCCTCATGGGAAGCACAGGGAAAAAAGAGCTAATAAGGAAGGTACATCTTTACTTTGACCATCCCAAAGCAGGCTGTCAGGGTGTCAAAATTTTCAAAATTAGATTTGGGGTGCCCTAAAGAGTTTTATTTTGTTATGTTGAGGAAGGGATAGAGGCCAGTAAAATCATAGTAATTCCCTTTTTTATCAGTGACTGCTCTGTAATACAGACAAATGGCATTTGTCCTGCTGCCAAAAAGCACATCACTAGGGAACAGTAGTGTGGGCAGTTTGCTCCTGGTAAGAACTCTGCAAGCTCCCCATCTGATAGCGACCCACTTGTGCTCCCATATAGATCTGATTTTAAAACTCTTTATGTGGTACACATTTTGTTATGTTGTATAATACAAACACCAAAGGTGGCCCCCACCAGAGGATTCTATGATAGCATTTAGTACCATCATGGAAAAAGCGCCCAGTAAATTCAAAAGCTGTTGGCACCTCATCAGTGCCTGCACAGACATCCAAGAAGTAGGATTCTACTTACTATTCACCACCTTGCCAAGGAGTCTTGCGAAGGAGTGCAGCTGTGTTTTGAGGAACACAAACCGGTATGTGGATGTGCAAGTAGAGGCCTCAAAGGGATTTACAGAGTGATAAACCTTCACTTTTTTACCACTCCTTTTCTCACATGACATGTCATCATAATCTCATTCCTGTATGATAGGCAGGCTTCCCTCAACATGTTTACAATCAAATGGCAATAATAATTGAGGGGTTTTTTAAAGTCAGAAATCTTCTCCTGATTATCAGTCTGCCATGCCAAGAATTGATTTTTCTCTTCAGGCATCATGCTCTGTACCCCATAATATTCTGGTGGTGGAATAGGACCCACATAACCTTGATTTTCAGCAGTGTTGATAAAATGGTGGAAATAACCTTTGCAGCCCTCAAGCCCAGAATAGTTGAGGTTGGAAGGGACCGCTGGAGGTCTTCTGGTCCAACACACCTGCTCAAGCACCTAGAGTCTGTTGCCCAGGACTGTGTCCAGGTGATTTTTTAATATCTCTAAGGATGGAGATTCCACAACGTCCCTGGGCAACCTGTTCCAGTGCTCACTCACCCTCACAGTAAAAAAGTGTTTCCTGATGGAACGAGGGAACCTCCCATGTTTCAGTTTGTGCCCACTGCCTCTGGTCCTGTCACTGGGCAGCACAGAGAAGAGCCTGGCACTGTCTTCTTTGCACCCTCACTTCAGGTATTTATATACCTTGATAAGACCATCCTTGAGCATTCTCTTCTCCAGACTGAATAGTCCCAGCCTCCCAGCCTTTCCTCATATGTGAGGTGCTCCAGTTTTTATTTTTTTATTATCACTGTGGCCTTCATTGAACTCTCTCTGCTATGTCCATGTGACTCTTGTACTGAGGAGTGCAGAACTGGACACAGCACTCCAGGTGTGGCCTCACCAGTACTGAGTAGAGCAGAAGGATCCCCTCCCTCGACCTGCTGGCAATCCTTTCCCTAATGCAGCCCAGGATACCATTCACCTTCTTTGCTGCAAAGGCACATCGCTGGCTCATGTTCAACTTGGTGTCCACCAAGACCCCCAGGTCCTTTTCTGCAAAGTTGCATTGAAGACAGTCAGCCCCCAGTAGGTACTGTTGCCTGGGGTTATTCCTCCCCAGCTGCAGGACCTTGGGCTTCCCCTTGTTGAACTTCATGAGGTTCCTGTCAGCCCATTTCTCCTGCCTTCGAGGTACCTCTGGATGGTAGCACGAACCTCTGGCGTATCAGCCACTCTTCTCAGTGTTGTGTCATCAGCAGACTTGCTGCTGCCCCATCACCCAGATCATTAATGAAGATGTTAAACAGGATTTGACCCAGGTTTTAACCCCTGGGGTACAATGTTAGTTACCAGCCTCCAACTTTATGCCACTGACCACCACTCTCTGGGCCCAGCCATTCAAACAGTTTTCAATCCACCTCACCGTCTGCTCATCCAGCCCGTACTTCAGTGGCTTCTCTATGAGGATCCTCTGGCAGAAAGTGTCAAAAGCCTTACTTGAAGTCTAGGTAGACAATATCCACTGCTGTCCCCTCATCAACCAGGCCAGTCATTTCATCATAGAAGTTTATCAAGCATGACTTCCCCTTGGTGAATTCAATTTATTAACTTCTTGTCCTTCATGTGCCTGGTGCAATACCCAAAACTTGGGGAAGGTTGTTTGGTTTCATGACTAAAAAATTAAAGCCTCTGTGAAGCATATTATCACACTGGGTACTTCTATGCACACAAGTTTACCACCTTGTGTAATTAATTGCACATCCTTTGGTTTTTTTATTTAGAAGCTGGCTAACAACAAAGTAGCCATCATGGCCTACATAGTCCTTACACTTCTCACACAGAAAACCATAACCAAAGAACCAATTGGTTTTTTTACAACCAGGGCCTTGTGCATCTTTAAATATTCCCCAGGCTTACACAGCAGTCTGTAGCTGGCGTACCTTATCCTTGTCCCCAAGTTGCCTGCACAGTCATGGGACAAGCAGACCTGGCAATAATATTTACAGTTATGCTATGGTTATGCAATGTGTGACAAAGCTCACAAAAGTTTCTTACCCTAAACACCTTCCTAACATCCTTAATACTGTAATAATGTTCGTTATGTAAAAGGAGGAAATAGGTCTTTGGATATCTAGGACTGCTATTTGGGTTAAAAAATCCTCCCACCCTTATTAGTGTGTAGCAGATCCTCAGACAAGGGAATGTCACTCAGCATGGTGTGAGGGACAAAATGGCTGGACATTTGTCTCAAAGCTTGCCCACATGAAGCTGGCAGGACCTTGCAGGAAAGTGTGCGGGGTGTCGCCCACTCACATGGCAACAAGGACAGTGGCAAGGCCATGGTAACAGCCTACTCGGAGCACACGATTGGCTGTGGGCATGTGCACGCGATCAGCGCATGAGACCCCAGGCATAGCGGGGCTCAGAGATGCGGGCTACGTGCCATTGCCCTGGGCATGCAGGACACGAGGGAGTTCTGTGCAAGCGGGAAGTTTGTGGGGGCAAGTGGGATGTTGTTGCCGCAGGCAACCAGCCTATAAAAGACCCCCACCCCAGACCCCTGTGTGCCGTTCTTGGCGCCAGCCTAGCGGTGGCAGTGGAAGCAGGAGACTGCTGTCGTGCCGCTGAATCTCAGACCATAGAATGTCTCCAAACCCTGGTTCAAACCCTGCAGGGACAAGTTGGTGAATTAAAAAAACAATTGGAAGAGGAAAAGGACCAGGTTAAAATTTTACGAGCTGCTCTGAAGGAGCAACTCCTTGTGAATGCCGTCCATGAGGAGGCACCCCCCCAAACTATTTACCCTATTAATTATCTGCAGGCAGCGAGAAAAAAATCAGAGAGATCAGAACCACCCTCACTGCGACCCTTAGTTAAAACCGAATACAGTTATGAAGATGAGCAGGACCATTTTCCCCAAGTTACAACTAAAGAAATCCCCTACACTGCCACTGAATTGGCAAAATTGAAAAAGGATTTTGGCCGAACCCCAAGACTGACTATGTGTGGAGAGTGTCACTATCAGGAGGGGATCAGATTTTGCTCAGTGAAAGGGAGGCAGAAGGATATTGGGGGCCAGGAGTATTTTTAACTACTGGATACCACCGAGCCCCCTGGTCTCTAACCCAGCGAGCAGCTTAGTGGGCAGGAGGGTCGAACCCCCTGGAAAGGGGGGATCCTCTCGCAATTACAGGAACCTTTAATCAGTTGGTGGAAAGTGTGCAGAAAGCATCTTGCCTACAAATGATGTACGATCAGAAATTAGAACCTAGGCAGGAATCCCCGATGCTGATGCCGGTGGATCCCGAGCGAATGACTCCCCTTATAAGGGGACTTCCCAGCTCTTTAAAACCAATTGGGATTCAAATACAGGGGAAAATACAGGCAACTTTAGAGGGATTTGCTCCCAATTGGCCTTGCCGACCCCCAGATAGGAAAGTGTGGACTTGGGGTGAAGTAGCCCAAGAGTTAATCAATTATGGGCACAAATATGGCCCTGTTGGCCCTCCAACTACCAGAAATCTAAGGTGGATGGAAGTTAAAACAGTCCCACACTCCAGAGGCGCAAAAAAGCCACCCCTCATAAAACCATCTGGGAGGAGGGACTTCCCAAACAAGTGCAATAGCTTGTGGGCAAAGGGCTGGCAAAAGGGGATCCCATGTGACCTAATGGACGGGCTGCCAACAGACAAGTTAGAGAGGCTGGTGATGGGGTGTCCTGATAAAACAGTAAAGAGGGAAGCGGTCTTTCAAGGTGCCATTACCCCTAGTGCACTTTCTGAGATTGATTCTTTAGGAATAAATGTCTCCCGAGAGTCAGCGGGGAACTAGATCCTTCGCCCTCCAATGGTGAGCAGGGGGGCAAAGGTAGGACATATATTAGGTGGCTCACTGAAAATGATTGGGGAGATTTATTTATCACAGGGATTGTAGGGCCAAAATGAGTCCTGGTCACCTTTCTGATAGATACTGGAGCACAGATTTCGGCCATTAAAACACAAGATGCCACTAACTGTGGGATTTTCCCTTCAAAGAAAAAAGTATTTGTAGTAGATGCATTTGGTAAGGTTCAGCCACAGGCAATGGCTAGAGTTGGCCTGCACTTGCCTGGGGAAGAAACCAAAATCGAAACAACTATGGTAGTGCAAGACTTCCCACTTAACCTCTTGGGACTTGACGTATTGAAAGGGAGAACCTGGATTGACAATAATGGGAGGCAGTGGTTGTTTGGTTCCCAGGCACTTGAGGTCCGGCTGCTACAAGCTGCACCGCCTCTCCCCCCCCACAAAAATAATAATATCAAACCCTTACCCAATACCATTAGGAGCTAGAGAGGGAATAACACCCGTATTAGAGGATTTAAAGGGGCAGGGCATTGTGATCCCAGCCCACTCCCCCTTTAATTCCCCAGCGTGGCCAGTACGGAAACCCAACGGCAAGTGGAGGTTAACTGTGGATTACCACAGACTTAATGCAAATACCAGTCCATTAACAGCTGCAGTACCAAATATTGCCAAGCTTATAGCCACTATACAGGAGTGAGCCCGTCCAATTATGGCCATGGTAGATGTGAAGGATATGTTCTTTATGGTTCCGCTGCAGCCTGAGGACCAGGATCGTTTTGCCTTTACCTGGGAAGGGCAGCAATTCACTTTTACCCGACTCCCACAGGGATACAAGCACTCCCCACGCTAGCACATCATGCTCTGGCACGAGAGCTGGAGGTGGTTCAGGTAGAGGAAGGGGTTAGTGTCTATGAGTATATAGATGACATTCTTGTGGGAGGGAAGGAGATAGAAGGGGTTTGGAGTACTCAAAATAATACAACTTCCCACCTAGAGAGTTTGGGACTGACTGTTCCTCCTGAGAAAATACAAACACCCTCACACAAAGTAAAATTCTTAGGGATTTGGTGGAGGGGAGGAATGACATGTATCCCACCGGACACCCTTTGTTCACTAGACAAGCTTAAAATGCCAGTGTCAAAAAAGGAATTGCAACATGTGCTAGGGTTACTTGTGTTTTGGAGAAAACACATTCCGGATTTTTAAATTATTGCTAGGCCCCTATATGATTTGTTACGAAAGGGGACCCAGTGGGAATGGACCGAGCAAGCCCCATGAAGAGGCCTTGCAGCTATTGGTGTTTGAGGCAACTGCCCATCAGGATCTCGGTCCCATTCACCCCTCAGACCCTGTCCACATTGAATGGGGATTTGCAAAAACTGGGCTATCAATACATTTATGGCAGAAAGGCCCTGAAGGACCCACTCGACCTATTGGGTTTTATTCCTGTAGTTTCAAGGATGCTGAGAAAAGATACATGGTCTGGGAAAAGGGTTTGTTCGTAGTCAGTGTAGCTCTGAGAGAAGCTGAGCGAACTATTCGGCAACAACCAAGAGTGCTTAGAGGGCCGTTTAAAGTAATCATAGAATCATAGAATCATAGAATCGTTTAGGTTGGAAAAGACCTTTAAGATCATCCAGTCCAACCATTAACCTAACACTACCAAGTCTACTCTAAGTCAATCAAGGGTAGATTAGACTAAACCATGTCCCAAAGTGCCACATCTACCTGTTTTTTGAACACAGTTTTGGCAGGAACCCCGCCCCCTGACGGGGTGGCCCAGAGAGCCTCTGTGTGAAAATGGTATGCTCAGAGCATTATTGTGACATTTTTGCGGTATCTGAGGGAGCTGCAAAAATGCTAACTATTCAAGAGGAAGCGAGCCTAAATAAGGACATACGCGAGTTCCCTCCCATAATACAAATAGCTCCCCCACTTTCTGAGCACCTGCAAAACATATGGTTCACAGACGCTTCCTCGAAGTGAGAAGGGAAAACCTGGAGATACCGAGCTGCAGCACTCTGCATAGACACTGAGGAACAAATCATCACAGAGGGGGAAGGTAGTGCCCAAGTAGGGGAACTAATTGCTGTGTAGTGTTTTTCAACATGAGTCTCAATGTGTTTCTCCTGTCTATATCTATATGGACTCCTATGCTGTGTTCAAAGGCTGTACTGAATGGCTTCCATTTTGGGAGCAAACTGTGAACTGCAGCTAAAGGAACAAAACGCTGTTAACCATATGTTTAGTATTGTTAATTGTTTTGTTATGTATTCATAGTATATATGTTCTACTACTGTCAGTAATGTTTTGGTCCTTGTTTTCCTTTTGGTTGGCCACCATCCTCACCTTTAATAGCTGGAGAACTTCCTGTACCCCCCTTTTCAATTCATTCTGGCAGAATGAGTTTATAATGTTAGGTCAACAAGTGGCTGAATCAGACCCTTTTGGTCGGACAAGCTGGCCTTGGGTAGCCACATCAGTGTCACCAAAATGGCTGGTGAGTAGTTTTGTTGAGGTGAAGAAAGACAAAACCTGGGAAAACCCAAACAACCCACCCTGACACATACACTTTCCAGAAAAGGGCAAATATTGTTTAGCTAGAGTGCAAAAAGATGGCCCCTTTGTGGGAAATAGTACCTGTGAATGGGTATATCAGAATATATCTGTGGATCAAGCTACTTCATGTTATGCCTGGGTAAACAATGACACAGGACACTTGGGTTGGTTTCCCAGATTTTGGACTCTTACACCTAACAGAACTCGGGGTAATCTTGTAGGCCACAATTGTACTTGGGAGCAGGAAGCAGGAGCTTATAACTGTAAATATTGTTATCAAATAAATTGGGCTCTTGGAAAACAACTTGGGAACATCTCTGTGGAAATGTATTAGCTTGTTGTGTGAACACTACAAAGGAAACGCTGTATTGTTGTGCCAATAGTGATCCTTTTGGCTTGGAACCCACTCTGTATTTTGACCCGTCGCCAGGCGGGGAACACTGGAGAGGCCCTTTCTCAAATGGTTCTGTCACCCTGAAGGGACACTATTGGATTTGTGGACACCATGTATACAAATCGCTACCTGCAAACTTGTCAGGAGTATGTTACATTGGGGTGATCCGCCAGCTATTTTTCTTACTTCCAGAAATAAACAGTAACCATTTAGGTGTTAAAGTATATGATGATTTAATTCGGGAAAAGCGATCTATTGACACCACTTTAACTAGCGGAAGCAGCCAATTGTGGGGGAAAGACAACTGGACCCCTCAACGTATCATACAACATTATGGACCTGCAACATGGAACCCCAATGAGCTGATCAGTGGTGCTCGAGAACCCATTTATAATTTAAATCATATTATCTATTTGCAAGCTGTGTTAGAGATTATCGCTAACGAAACGACCGATGCTCTTGATCTATTAGCAGACCAAGCTACCCAAATGCATACGGCTGGCCATTTTGCAACATCGCATGGTTCTCGACTACCTACTGGCTGGAGAAGGTGGGGTCTGTGCAAACTTAATGATTCTAACTGTTGCTTAAAAATTGATGACAATGGAAAAGTTGTGAAACAGATCACATCTGAAATACGGAAGTTAGCCCACAACCCTGTCCAAACATGGGAAGGCTGGAACCTAGAAGTGTTCTCGTGGCTCCCAGGCAGCCCATGGGTTAAACGTTTATTGTTCTACCTGTTATGTGGTTTTCAATGTTATTATTTTTGCCATGTATAATTCCATGTATTATTCAATTGATTCAACATGTTGTAACTAACATGCAATATGTACCTGCCCCTTCACCCGATGGTGCCAAACAAATTCGTGTTGTGTGTCAATCCACGCCGCCAGTAGTGCAAATTTTCTAGATGCTCTTTTCTGACCTTTTCTAAACAGCTACTCTTTTTCTTAACCATCCATGGATCCTGAAGAAGCAACCTTTGAGCCACAGGGTGGTGTGAGGGACAAAATGGCTGGACATTTGTCTCAAAGCTTGCCCACATGAAGCTGGCAGGACCTTGCAGGAAAGTGTGCGGGGTGTCACCCGCTCACATGGCAACAAGGACAGTGGCAAGGCCATGGTAACAGCCTGCTTGGAGCAGATGATTGGCTGTGGGCATGTGCACGCGATCAGCGCATGAGACCCCAGGCATAGCGGGGCTCAGAGATGCGGGCTACGTGCCATTGCCCTGGGCAAGCAGGACACAAGGGAGTTCTGTGCAAGCGTGAAGTTGTTGCCTCAGGCAAGCAGCCTATAAAAGACCCCCACCCCAGACCCCTGTGTGATCACTTGCAACCAAAGACTTTGGTGTGATTCACTCACCACCGAAGACCCCAGAAGCACGGATCCCCGGGACGCTGCGGATCCATGGTGGTGACTGTTTGCGCTTTCCTATCCTGAACTCTTGCTTAATTTTCCTCTCTTGTTTTCCTTCCTTCTCTGTCGCTGTTTTTCTCTCTTCTCCAAGTGGTTAATAAACAGGTGCACTTACGACATCTGACCTCGTTTGTGTCTTAATCTCACTCGAAGGGATCGAACCTGAAATGAGCAGTCGGTCTAGCCGCCCCTAGCCCCCCAGACTCATCTGAGGTCAGCTAGAATGCAAGGGGACCCTCCTCTCACCCAAATCGGATCGTAACACTTGGCTTTCCTGAGCATGGACCATCCATGTTTGTCATGTAGCTCTTTTGCTCTGCTTAACAATTCTTCATCTGTCAGATCTCACTGTTGTAAGCACTCTCAGACTCCCAGCAAAACAGAGATTATTGTCTCTGTTATTCAGATGAATCAAATAGCACTATTTTTTGTCTACAATTTTAGAATGGGGGTTAGATTGTAGGGTTGTGTGTACCCCACCCCCAATGGCTTTTACAATAATGATAGTGAGGAAGAAAAATCTGATTAAAGCACAGTTCTCTTTACAGTAGATGATTGCTAAGTAAATGTGGTTTTGCACACAGGTGCCCTGTCATTTTAAATACAGTACT